TTCAGATTCATAGTCTTGTGAATATTATCTTTATGAATTCTATCATTATTAGAGAATATTAAGCTTCTGTTTTAAGCATTTAATAAGATGTCTTATTCAGATAGTCAGACAAGTTCAAGTATAAAATTATAGTCAAGATTATTAACTTTGTATATATTAGTATCTTTATATTGATGTTCTTTAATATCTATATTTAGTTTTATCATGTAACAGATGTGAATGTCTTTTAAATCATTAAATTCTGCAAGAAGTCAGGGTTTTAATAAGATAATATACTGAAGATTATAATATCTTATAACTGACATTGTATAGTAATATAGATTACTGTTTATTATAACTTTTATATTATATATATTATTAATCACAGTAGATACAAGAATTGTATTTATTGTTATTTTCTCTTTAAATTATTATCATCTGATCTCTTCAAGCTTCTGTTTACAAATTTGAACAGAAGTTAATCTTTTCTCTGTTTTATTAGAACATTCTTATAGTTATCTTCCGAATCTTTCTTCAATACAATGTGATTAACATGAACTGCCAGTATTAATCTTTCTTTTAAATAAGAAGATACATAGACTGATCAGCAGTTGAAAGTGATATATTTTGATCAGTTGCAATTGATACACATCTCTTATTAATGTTGATTAACACCTTCTTCAGAAGTGATCTCAGAGACTTAAAAGTCTGTTCAGATAGTGAAAACTCTTACATATGTATAGACATTTCAGTTTACTTAATTCATGACATCTGCATTATCATTCTTCAGTGCAGGTGTATAAGTGACTGAGATGTAATATCTTCTATCACTATTCTGTATACTCTTGAGCTTGATTAAACAGTCATTCAATGTCTGAAGTTATATGCAGAAGTCTTTATAAGTTGAGTTTTTATCTACACTTATAAGAGTCTGTAAGTGTTTAAAAGTTAATATCTTCTTAAGCATACTAATCTTCATTCAATTCTCTCAAGATTGATCATCTGCTTGTAGAATCTTGATGTCAAAGTCAGAAATAAATGTTGTAAGAGAAGTGTTTCTCCATCAGATACTCTGTAATCAATCTGTGAAACAAGCTCTAACCCATGTGACTCACACACATATATTTAGCTTTCACTAGCTACTAGTTAGATAACAACAACAATCAACCATGTTCAACCTCTCTCACAGAATGTACGACCGCCGGATAATAACGCAGCCGCTTCCGAACACGCTTACAAATGAAAAGAGGCCCTAGCGGCCACTAATTAATTTAGATAATGTATATAAGAAGCCGGTGTATGCCTGTGATTGTACACTGACTTAAGCAACCTTTGAATCACATCTGATAGCATGTCTAAAAACTAGTGAGAAGTGCAGGCTTTTTCAGAATGTGATTACTTCATATATATAACAATTCATAGTTATCATGACAGTGTGATTTTAAAAACATCTTAAAAGATAGTGTATGAAGAAGTAATAAGTGAAAGAACATCTGATTAATACTGCTCTGCTTATTGAGAAAAAACTTCACACTCAGACAAATGTCATGTATGTGAATAAATGAGATGTGAGAAAGAAGATATGAGTGATGAATCAGATTTAAAGAAGACTACTCTTTACTTAAAAGAATAAAAAGAGAAGTAATTATTATCAGAGTTGTACAATAATAATAGAAAACAGAAATTAGAAATTATATTATGTAAGGGGCCTACGCCGATTAGATCGGTATAATATTGATGGGTCTTATATAACAAAGATAAAAACGCTAGAGAAGGAAAGAAAGAGAAAGTGCAAGAATCAGTGATCGAGGTGGATATTTATATGTGTATGTGGTGGTGTACGCGGTGGAGCTTCGGGGCGGAAGAACATATACACGTTCGTAGCGGCCGAGGATCGGCAATCGAGAATGGCCGAGGATCTGCAATCGAGAATGGCCGAGGATCTGAGCGTACGTGGAATCTGCGGAGTGTAATGGTATAGTCTATATGATTGATTGGGGTGGCGATCGAGAATGGCCGAGGATCGGAGCGTATGTAGAATCTGTGGAGTGTAACAGAATAGTCTATATGATTGATCAGGCGCAGCCCGCCACATTAGCCCCCTCTTTCCAGAAGCAGTTCCCATAGGTCAAGGGCCGCTGTTTCAGATAACGCGGAACTCGGAGTCCAGGTTGGTTGAGAAGGGATCAGATCAGTGGCAGCGCGGCGGTTCAGTGTGTAGTTTTTGATAAGGGGATATGCTGGAGGTTATGATGTCTTATGACTGGAGATTTTATCATTGCATAGTGGCTTCTCTTCAAATCATTGTTGTCCAACCTCTTCAAGCTCCTGTTTGCGAATTTGAACAGGAGCTAATCTTTTCCCTGTTTCATCGGGGCATTCTCATAGTTATCTTCTGAATCTTCCTCTAATGTAACGTGGCTGGCACGGACAGGCGCTGATCCATCCTTCGAACGCGGAGGCACTGATCTTTCTCTTGAATATGGAGGTGCCGGTCTTTCTCTTGAGTGTGGAGGCACATAGGTCGATTGGCAGTTGGAAGCAATGTGTCCTGATCGGTTACAGTTGATACACACTCCTTGTTGATGTCAATTGGCGACTTCTTCAGGAGTGATCCCAGGGACTCGGAAGCCTGTTTGAATGGCGGAAACTCTTGCTTGTGCATAGGCTTTTGAATCTATCCAGTCCATGGCATCTGCATCATGGTTGTTCTTCGGTGTGGGTGTATAAGTGGCTGGGTTATCTGTCACTGCTGGTGTATAAGTCGCTGAGTTATTTGTCAGTGCTGGTGTATAAGTTGCTGAGGTGTAATGTCTTCTGCCACTGTTCTGTATATTCTTGAGCTTGGTAAGATGGTCATCCATTGTCCGGAGCTGTGTACAGAAGCCTTCATAAGTCTGGTCTTCATCTGTGCTTACAAGGGCCTGTAAGAGTTCAAAAGTTAATGTCTTCTTGAGCATGCTAATCTTCATTTGATCCTTTCAAGATTGATTATCTGCTTCTAGAATCTTGGTGTTGAAGTCAGAGATGAATGTTGTAAGAGAAGTGTTCCTCTGTTGAGCTCTCTGTAACCAATCTAATGCTTTCTGTTGCATGGCAGTGTCTTGGAACAGGACATCAAGATGTCTTATGATGTTGTCAGGCATTCGCAATGCTGGTTCACATGCTTCCATTCATGGATGGAACTTCTGTTTCATGCAATCCTTCAATTGTCCATTGATATATCAACCTTGATTGGTTAACAAACTGATGGAATCTCCATCTACACTCAGTTTCACGAGCATTTCCATCCTCCATGATGAGTAGAGAGTGAGGTCGGAAGCATTGAAATATGCAGGAGCACCTAAGCGTTCTTTCAGCACTTTTGTATTCGATTCTGTAGGTGTTGGGATTGCATGGGTTCCTTGTTGTGATAATCATTGAATCTCTTCATATTGGCGTTGTTGAGTTGCATGCATATCTGCTATCTGTTGTTGTTGTAATTCCAACATTGCTCGGAGCCACTGTGGCACTGCGTCTATGCTCATGTTCGAGTTCGAGGGTTCCATATTATCATTAGACATGGTTGTATCGATCGTCGGATGTGTAATCGTATTCTCATACGTCTGAGTGTCAGGACTCTCAGGTCTTTCGCTGACATTCTCTTTGTAAGATCTTACTCTCTTCGTAAGATCTCATTGCGGGGCCAGGGCGACTGGCGAGCAAGCTTCTATCTGGGGACTCAGTGTCCACTTAGCTGTGTTTCTCTTTCTTTCACTGACATTCTCTTGTAAGATCTTATTCTCTTCGTAAGATCTTGTTGCAGGGCCAGGGCGACTGGTGAGCAAGCTTCTATCTGAGGACTCGGTGTCCGCTTAGCTGTGTTTCTCTTTCTTTCACTGACATTCTCTTGTAAGATCTTACTCTCTTTATAAGATCTTGTTGCAGGGCCAGGGCGACTGGCGAGCAAGCTTCTATCTGTGGACTCAGTGTCCACTTAACTGTGTTTCTCTTTCTTACGCGTCGTTACGCGTTCGGATATCTCTCAATGGATAATCATTCCTGATGAGGAGACGATGCGTGGATAATTGTTTCCTAATAAGAAGACAATGAGTGTTTTTATAGTGTAAGAGGCCTACACTGATTAGATCAGTATAATATTGATAGGTCTTATATAACAAAGATAAAAACACTAGAGAAGGAAAGAAAGAGAAAGTGCAAGAATCAGCAATCAAGGTGGATATTTATATGTGTATGTGGTGATGTATGTGGTGGAGCTTCGGGGCGGAAGAACATATACACATTCATAGCAGCCGAGGATTGGCAATTGAGAATGGCCGAGGGTCGGCAATCGAGAATGGCTGAGGATCTGCAATCAAGAATGGCCGAGGATCTGAGCGTATGTGGAATCTGCGGAGTGTAACAGTATAGTCTATATGATTGATCGGGGTGGCGATCGAGAATGGCCGAGGATCGGAGCGTATGTAGAATCTGTGGAGTGTAACGGAATAGTCTATATGATTGATCGGGCGCAGCCCGCCACATATTATAATATAATTATATAATGATATAATAATATAATGATATAATAATAGACATTGTATAATTAATCAGAAATCACTGAAATAGATATCTTCTCTAGTTAATACAAACATTCTTCTCTGCTATCTGAACTGAAAGATAGATAGAATCTCTTAGAGAGTTTACTTAAAGTAGTAAGAAAAGTAATTAAGACTGCTGAATCAGAAGTGAAACTCTGTACATGTATAAGAATTCTAAATGAGATTGAAATCTTATATACATAGTGATAGACTGAGATGAAAACTAAGCAACTATTAATATTCACTGCAGATTAAGAATTTACTATAAAGAGCTTCACTAATGCAATCATTATTATTGATAAGAATAGAGAAAATCAGATTATAGATTTGTAACAGAAGATTGAATATTTATACAGATAGATAATTACACTGAATCTGAAAATCTTATTATAATTATTTATAATCTCTTCAGAAGTATATATATCATCTGAGACTACTGCATATAATAAGAATTTAAGTATGAGATATATTAAGTTAAAAGATCTGCTGAAGTTATTAAGCTTTAATAATAACTGAAAAAATAATACTACAATCAGCTAGACTGGCCGCTGGGACCATGAATTTCATGTTTAGTTCTATTTGGTCTGGTCTCATACATTTCTTGGCGTGAATCCCGCTGGGACTGGCTATCAAAAAAACAGGTAAAGTGACTATATATGAGATCTTAAAATGGAACCATGACTTGAAAAAAATGAGAAAGTGGTCTCATTTAATTTCATTTAGTCTCATTCTTGACATAAAGTTACTATTTTTAGACATTTTAAGGTTTTTTTTAGACTATTTTTAATTTTTTTAAAAGTAACACTTTTTGATAACACTCAAATGAGATTTAAAGTCATTTAAAGCAATAAAAATAATTTAAATTGAGAAGTGGAAATCATGATCTCATTTGGAAAATGTGACAAGAGTAGACAGTAAGTTTCACTGAAACAGTATGAGACTACTATCTAATGTTAAAACTGTGTAATGAAATCAGTCAAATTGATAATGAGACTATCAAAAAATCTGGTTCTGATTTCAGACACGGTCACACGGTCAGTCTACAATCAGCTGACTAAATCAGATATAATTATATTATCAGATTAAATATGAACTTACAGATAGATAGTTAACAGAATTTTAATAAGTCTTAACATCTGCTATATTTCTATATAAAAAAGTAAAGTTATTATAAATAACTAGTAAAAAGATGAATCTCAAAGATCTGAAGTGATATTCATTCTTATAAATATGAAATAAGTTTTTCAAATCAATATCATACAACTTTGAGAAAGTGAATATATAAGATAAGTGTTATAAATACTTTACTAAGTGTAGATAAGTGAGTAATCTTATATTATATTTTATACACTTCAGCTTATACTATCTCATATTAAATGAAGAGCTTTTAACATCTTTCTATTTACAGATCTTCATTCATAATCTTACATCTAAGTTAAGAGTAGAATGAAAATGCTTAATCTTATAATCAGATATAATAAAAGAAGTATATAATATTCTTATTATACTGAAATAAGTGAGTCAATTATAATAGAAAATACTGTAATTGAGTATATCTCAGTGAAGAATAGATAATCAGACTTCTATAATACAAGCTATACATCTAAATATAATAAATCTAGATTTGAATATCATTGTTAAAGCACTGAATTCTCTGAGAAAGAGATTCTCTAAGTAAAAATCTTGATATTATGAGTATTAAGCTTACTTTAACTGCAGATGCTAAAATCATGATATAAAGAATTACACACAGTGTGTATAATTAAGAGAAACAAGAGAGTTAAAAAACTAGCAGAATCAGTGAGCTCAGAGACACTCACTGATATTTTATAAAAAGTCTTTAAAGTGAAAAAGATACTCATGTTAGATGATTCTCTGAATTCTATAAATATTAAGAGAAAGCAGACTTCTGAATAGAATGTAGATAAGAATGAAGAAGCAGATACTTATTTCAATATCTTAAGATCTGAAATATTAATATATAGAGAATACTTGAGTAAGAATTAAAAGATAACTATAAAAGTGTTAGTGAACACAGAAGCTTCTATACAATATATTAATAATTATATAATTCAAAGACTAAAAGAGATTCACTGAGTAAAGAATCTCTGATATATAAGATTATCTAATAACTGATATTTAGTATTATCTGTAAGAGTAAGAGTTCTCTTATACTTTGAAGAATGATCTTACTATATTTGAGTATGAGAGCTGCAGAATGTGAAATACAATCTTATTCTCAGACTTAATTAATTTCAAAGATTCAATCTGCAGATTCAATGATGTACATGTTATATATAGTTAACTGATAGAAAGATAATAATTCATATAATTCTATTAACTGATATGAGAAGAACATTTCATATCTCTGATATAGAAGAGTTAAATCTGCTTATATATTAATAAATAAAGAGAATAATTCACAAGATCTTATCTGAAAGTATTCTGTATGTCATACAGAATCTGAAAGCAGAGAAAATCAAGATAAAGAATATATAGAAGAATAAGTGTATGAAGAAACTTCTGAAGAAGTATGAAAAGATCTTCTGAACAGATCTTTCATCAGAATTACTGCTAGAACAAGGATTTATATATGAGATTAATACAGAAAATGTGAAATCAGTTAATTAAAATGCATAGTCTCTGTCACAAACATATCTTGAAGAATAGAAGTATCAGATCATAGATCTTTTAGAATATAATCTCATACAATTCTCATCAAGTATGTGAGACTTCTTAGTTCTATTTATGAAAAAGACAGATAAAGAGTGACAGATGTGTATTAATTATCAAGTACTTAATAAGCTTATAATCAAGAACAGATACTAATTATCACAGATTCAACAACAGTTGAATACAGTCAGAAATACTTAATATCTATCAAAGATTAATCTTCTCTCAGAATATTGACAGATCTGTATAGATGAACTATTAATACTGTGAATCATATTTAATATATAATGAGAGAAGTTTAAATTTCTGATAATATTATTCAGTCTGATAAATACACTTATTATCTTTTAAATAATGATGAATATAATTCTTTATAAACAGAATAAAATCATATATCTTGTATATCTGAATAACATTCTAGTCTTCTTAAACTTATATAGTAAATATCTGAAGTATTTTAATAAAGTACTTATAACTCTGACAGAGTATAAGCTCTATATTAAATCAATCAAGTATGTGATTGAAATGAAAGAGTTAAAGTTTATAAGATATATGATGAGTGATGACTGTATACATCTCATTCTGAAGAAATTAAATATTATAGTGAATTGACTGTAACTGAGAAATGTATATTATATACAATAATTTCTTAAATTAATCTCATACTACTGTAGATTTATTAAAGATTTTGCATGAATATCTATATCACTCTCAGATCT